GACCTCTAGGCGTATGTTGTTGCGGTATAAGTGCAGCAACTTGTTGTGTGAGCAACTCCACTTGTTGATGCAGCTGTGTGATTTTATCACGTCTACGTATCTCCTCTACTAGGGCTCCACGGGCTTCTTGACGTCTCCTGACGGCATGGTGAAGAAACGACTTCGGCTCTGATACCAACTGATGCAGGGAAAGATTATAGAAAAGACAAAAATTCACACGAAAAGAATTTCAAAGAAGAGAAATTTAAGAAAACTTTATTTCATTCAAAATTGAGCTGCCTCAAAGGACTTACAATATTTAAATAGCGAAATCCTAAGAAAATTCGGAAAGAAATTATATAATAATAAAAAATATTATATTTTTTCCAAAAATGGAAAAAATTGAGATAATGACGGATCTTGATTCTCCTAATTATCAAGATCATCCCCCAACAAACGAAAATCAAATCTGAGTTTATTTGATTAAGATATTGCCAAAATAAAAATTACCATAAATGACAAAAGCGCTTAATTGAGGGCCTAAAAGATGGAATTTGCCCAAAATTTGACGTGCATCAGGGCAAAAGGCAACTTAAAGGCCCCGAGTTGTGATCATTGGCCCGTTTCCAATCAAATTAGACTAACAATTCGCCAAAAACGAACAAATCCGAAATTAAATGAAATTATTATTTTGCTTTCATCAGATGCCCAAGTCTGATTCGTCTGTAATCTTCTTGAATTAGCCAAAATACATAAAGAAAGTTTGGCCCTAGTCAAGGAAACATTCATCCGTCTAACATCACCAACAAATCCAAGATTGCTAGAGTTAATCCTGCGTACTTCAGATCTAGCTGCTCTAACTGTTGAAAGCAGCAGGATATCAACTTCCCGGCCTTGAAAGCCATCAACTGTATTAAATTCCATTCCAGCAGTAATAGCATATCCAAATGCACCAAAAAAGCAGATTGGGGAAAAAAGATGGATATAAAATTGGAGGATTGGAGGTGATAAAAAGAGAAATAAACAGTAACATCTCATTGGGTTACTGTTGCATTTACAGTAAACCAAAACTATTTTTTTTTTATTATAGTAGGATAAAATAACTAAAATTAAATTATTAAAACAATTTCTACTTTCTTCTTCTCCATCCACCTCACACACCCCTACCCCAAAATCATCACTACTATTACCGGATGGTCCAAATGCACCCATCCAATGCCAACGCCACTGCCATCTCCTCCACCACCTCCATTTCCACCTTCATTCCCATCACCCAACATTTTTTTCTTCCCCAAATTTTTGTTGGGATTATACCAAGTAACAATTTTTTCTTCCCTAGAGCTATATTTATGTGTGGACGATGTTTTCAGAGGTTTGGACTCCATTCTCATGCAACAGCCATGGGTGGTTCAGGGCTTCACGTGAACAAGCCGCACAAGACTAGGTTTGCTTCCAAATCTTACTGTAAGTCCACAAAATGCCCCAAAAAGGTGATTTTTTTTGGTTGCTTTTTAGAGTTTTGGGTTTGTAATCTTTTAGAATTACAAATTGATACTTGTATTGTTTTGTTAGACAAGAGTAAAATTTCAAAATCCGAGCGCAATGTTGCCAAAGGAGCCAAAGCTGCTCGCCTATAGATGAGGGAGCAGAAGAGAGCAATGGTTTTTAAAGAGAAGAGGGCATCATCTGGATCGAGAAGTCCTCCCCGTGTTATTGTAAGCCCCCTTCCACCTGTGGAAGATTTGGGGAAAAAAATTTGGGATTCGAAGATTTGGGAAAGAAAGATTTGTTGGGTGTCGGAATGAAGGTGGAAATGGAAGAGATGGTTGTGACGTCAGCATTGGGTGAAAGCAATCAATTTGGATTTCATTTGCGAAATTTTGAAAGGTTTGGTGCCGTATGTGGCACAAATGAAAGGTTTAGATAAAGTCTATCCCTTATTTTTTTGAAACATGCTTTTATTAAACCCCATAGGCCCCCACCTATAGGGGCGGCAAGTAGTACAGGTCCATGTGGCCCTGTACAACCAGCTCTATTCACGGACTTATCTTATTTCTTGCTAAGGACGTAGATTGAGAATTAGAAAAAAAGGGGTTTATTTTAAACAGGCCCCCCACCTATAGGGGGGGAGGGCCCAACCAGCAAAGTCCTAATTTTGTCCACGTGTTTAATTAAATTCCTTAGTATTTAGTACTTAGCTTTAAATATTCGATAGTTTTTCGACTTTTGTTGTTCTTCATCATTTTAAGCAACTAGATTATTTATCATTTGGGACTTGAAACATTTCGAGTCCGAGGTAGATTGGAACTATATATTAGTGATGTTTAAAAGGTTTATCACAATTTCTTCTATATTAGAAATCAATTTTATAGTCGAAACAAATATCAATGGAAGTTTAATAGATGAAAAATCTTTATTTAGCTATTGATTTCGTTCAATATGCAAAAGATGAAGTTGGAACTGCTAATTTACAAAGGAAGCTAAATCTATGGTGGTCATATGCTTTCTCGAGTCTGCCACATAGGTCAATTGGCAATTCCAGGGGAAGTTATGTATTTGTGTCTTCAGAACTTCACAAAGGCAAATTTTGAGCCTAATATTAAAAATCTAGATTAATAATTTTTTAAAAAAGATTAAATTTATAAAAATAATTATAATTTTCTTACATAGAGTTTTCAAATGTTTTATTACGTTGTGTCGCATTCTTTGTTTCATTGCAATATACAACAATTAGCTTAGTACTGGACGCGTAAATCATTTATCCTGATAGAAATCAGAATACATGAAATAAAAATAATATAAATCATTCAAAATATTATATAAGAACATAATAATCTCACTGTATTTTCAGAAGAATGAAAATACATTTTATTCGACAGAACTTCGACAGAAAATAGCACAGATAGCGAAACTCAAACAGAAATAGGCTATTGGTGGAACATGCACTACACCATTTTAATTGATCCTGCCAAGAAAAAAGATCAACATGTCAATGCCGTGGTTCAATACAGTATCAAAACCCGATAAATATTATGATTTAATCCATTAATGAATTTGTGCACATGTCATAGTTTTGACAAAAATAAGTTTGTATGTGAGTGGACATTGCAAGATATATAATAAGTAAAGAATCTTGCTACGTGTACAGAAGAATTATACAGATAGGTTGACAGATAGTCAGGTGGCAAGCATTGATTGAATGTTGGACCAAAAACAGTTTTGAACCAACCAATGCAATTACTACACCTGTGTATCTGTCATTCCTTCTGTCAAAAGCTTCAGTACAATGAGCTTTATCCACAAGTAAATCAACGGGGCTGTGTATCAAATAAACAGTATAGATGTAAATTATTACTTGGTACAATCAACAGTTGGAGAGAGAGGATAAGGAAAGCTGATGCCACAATTCCCTGGAAGAGATTTAGCAAGTTCAGGCTTGACATTTATGTTCTTGGAAGCATTCTTAAGGCAGGTACATGCAGCCTGCTTGTCAGCTGTTGATGTAGTACTTGATGCAAGATTTGATGCTCCGGTGCAGCAGTCGGCCGGGGGCGTTCCACTGCCACTTTTTAGGTAGTTAATACATGGCTTCAGATCTTTGATCACGTCGCTGCACGTAATCGCAGCATCTGAAGTAGATGGTGCAAGTAAGAGATGGGTCGTAAAAATAGCGATAAAAAGAACTGCAATCGGGGTCGAAAATGCCATGGTTTAAGATACAACTGAGGAAGCTGGAATGAAGGACGGAACTTGAAATGCTCTATCAGTTGAGTACTGGATTTATAGTGCATTTCATTGGTTAAGATCACCTTTAGACGAAAAATTATGAGAATTTAAAAATGTTTGATTTGCAGATTGAGTGCAAGAAAGAGAATGATGATGATAAAGTCAAAAGTTCAGTGCAATTGTAGTGCAGCTGTGCTACATAACTTGCAGCATAAAACCTAAACCCGAACCCTAACCAATTAATCTTCTTGTTACTAGGATAACATATCTTTCATTTGCACCCGACAATATTAAAAATGAGAGACGTGTCTTGAAATTTGTCAGTTATCTTGTCGTTAATGAAACTGTGCTTCATAAGAACGTCAAAGTTTGGTGCAATTATAATCCTCTGCACAAGTAAAAGAAGCTTTGCTACATAACTTACAGAACTAAACCTAAACCAAAATCCATTATTGTTTGTTGATTAGTCGTTTTCATTCATAAAGTAGAAGACGCTATTGGTAACCCAAATTTCGGCGAACTTCATTTTACTCATTCGACTGTTGGAACAAATTGAAGTTGAGTAACTAAAATAAAACTTCCGTCCATGTTGGGCGACCTTAAGTTCTTTAGCTTTAGACATTTTACTCGTAAACATATCTTATTTCTACATTTCCCATAAAAGTATAAGGTAAATGGTTGAACAAACATAAGGGAGACGATTTACAGTTTTTAAAAGTTATTTCCTTTTTATTTTTCATATTGTTGAACCAATTAATCTAAAAAATATTATTAAACAATGTCACATAAATAATATTTAAATATCATTTTCAATAAGCCGATCATATGTAAGCAAGGTCTATTTTTCTTCATCAAAGCATAACATGTAAAAATTTTGTTTAAATAAGTAGGGCAAGGCTTGAACCCAGTACTTTTGCCCATTCTCTGATATTATAATGAACTATTTGATCTAAAATTTTAAGCTATAAAGCATTAGTGCGGTATTCTTCAATATGTATAATTGACCACTTTCAAATTCTTTGTAGAATTATTTATGACATGAGAGATTATGAAAGAACAGTATTAAGTATTTATCATTAGTCAAAAATGCTTTGAACTTTGATGAATTTTTTAGTACGATGAATGCGATAAGAAAGACATGTAGCAAAAGATGTTGAAAATTTTTGTCCGATGTATCAAACAATTAAGTATACCTCGCAACTTTTGTGAATTGAGTAAATATTGTCATTTCTTCAACGTTCTAATGTACTACGAGCTCGTTTGGTATGACTTTTACTTCATATAAAAGAGTTTAAATGAGGAAGTTGTCTTAATTTTTGTTTGAGAATTAATTTAAACGAAACACTTTTATAAACTTAGCTAAATGGGTCGAAAAGTATTTTTTAAATCTCAAAAACTCATTATGACTTTTCAAAATTCATGCTAAAAAGGCCCTACATATCCTGGATATGATATCATACCTAGGGCCATCATACGTATCTGCATTAAAGTATTTTTACATTTTATCATCGTATTAAATATTTGGAATAAAAAGATGATTTTTGCCCCATTCGTCAATGTATTAAGAGTGTGTTTGGTAGGGATTTTTTTGAGGAAGAATTGATTTT